CTCTTCCAGTCAGTTGGCCAAGTGGTTGTCCTCCAGATTTCTTGGCACAACTTGGTGAACACATCTAGGGCAGCATCTGTTAATGGAAATATGTCTGTTGGTATACTGTCAATTCCTGGGGCCTTATTTTTTGCCAGTACTCTCAGAGTAGCTTCTTCCTTCATCACCACAGGTTCTTGCTCATATGTTGTTTCATGAAATTCTCTGTGTCTGCCAATTCCTTTTGGTACAATAACGTTGTATATGCTTTCCATCATCTTTTAATGCTTCCTGGATCATTTAATATTCTGCCTAAAGTACCCTTAAGTATTGGAACTCGAGTAACAGGTTTAAATACACCAGCTATTCCACAGAAGAAAGACGGACAGTCACTTCCTGTATGATTTATAGCCTCTGAAAACTACCTGGAGGGGCAGTTATGAGTTGGTTCAAACTCAATGACAATGACTAATAAAGGTCATATATTGCTATAAAGGTGATACATGTTGAAATTAAATTACTTAGAATGCGTCAAGAGAGAAAAAATTGCAAAATCATTGGTTCCTTCATTAACCAAAGATAACCACTGTAAACGTTCTGTTTTATCTTCTTTCCCCCCCTCCCTACTCACCTTCCAGTGTGCTTTTCTCTTTTAAAAAATTCTTTCGTTATTGCAGTTTCCTCCCTCCTCACCCCCAAGTCCACTTTGCTATGCAGCTCTTGTTCTGGATTGTTCTTTCACATGTCCAGACATATTCTTGTTTTCAAAAGGAAAATTGGCTCATCCTGCAATTATATTTTGTTGCTAGTGTTTTCACTTAAATAAACTATGACATTTTTTCCATGTCAGTAACATAGATATGTTGTTGTTAAGTGCTATCGAGTTGAGTTGAGTATGACTTATAGTGACCCTATGACCTAAAGATCTGAACCCTGTTCTTTCCAGTGTCATCCTCACACTTCCCGAGACACTAGAGCCCATTGTGGCAGTCACCATGTCAATCCTCCTGGTCAAAGGTCTTTCTCTCCTTTGTCAGCTCTCCCTCTTCCAAGCGTTATGTCCCTCTCCAAGGAACAGCCCTTCCTGGCAACATGCCCAAAGTATGTGAGGTGAAGCCTCATTTTCTTGCCTCTAAAGAACACTCAGGCTGCACATAGATCTACTTCCCAAAATTTAATGACTATGTTCACAGTGTACCATCATTTAATGTGTTCCTTTGTATAATTATTTAATCTGTGTCTTTATAGGTTGATAATGTTTTTTCTTGTTGTTTTAATAATGTTATCTTCTATATATCTTCACTTTAATAGGCTTAGGTAAATTTACCTTAGGGTAAGTTCTGTAGTGTGGATTACTCAATTGTCTTTTATGTGATAGTACTTGGTATGGAGCCTGGTGCATAAAAGGCCCGTCAACAATTGTTGAAAGAATACTAGTCAAACAGCATTTACTTTTTAAACTCTCTTCATAAACAGTGCCTAATTCTTCATAAGAAATATGCCATTAAATCAGTAATTGAAAGTCACTTATTTTAAAATTTTTTATCCTTAAACTTATAAGTATATTATGTACTCTGTTCTTGTGTATAAACTATGTTTTCATGTTTTGAAAATCTCACTAACCTTAAGAGTATTAATTTTGTTTTGTTCCAAGTTTTTATTTTTGCATTTAAATTTTTAACCTTCTAGAATTTATTTTGATCTAAAGTTTTGCATTTATTTAACAGGAACTTTTAATAGAGGAATAATCTTACTTTTTTAGTAAAAATTTTCCTTTTGATGCCTTTACCTGAACTTCTGAGGTTTGGTTAAAATTTGACCATATAGGAAGATGCTAATTTTTAATTCAGATGGTCACCTAATAAAATTATGCGTAAGACTCTTTTTAGTAAGAATACTTGAAAATATGTTGAAAAAGAAATTAATAAATGAGTTACTTTAATGATTTTTTTTAATAGGTGAAGTAATGGATAATCTTACTTTGGAAGCTGGAGATGATGCTGGGAAAGTCAAGTGGGTGGACATCAGTGAGAAGCTCAAGCTTTATGCCAGTCACTCTCAGTTCATCAAACTTGTAGCAGAGAAACGAGAAGCTCACTGGAGTGAGTGCTCTGAAGCTGGCAACCCTGGGGTATAGCATGAAGTCTCCATGTAGACTAAAGGCCAGCTGAGGACAATGGACTTTAAAGAAGGAAGTACACAGAATCCATACTACCAAAAAGTCAGGGCAGGTTACTTGGAAATTATTCATTTTCAAAACAATCTGTGCTTAGAAGATTTTATATCAGAATAATATTAGCAAATATGATGAAATAGAACAACACATTTTCATCAGAAGAAGAGGAGCATCAATACTAATTTATTTTATGTCCTTTATTTAAGCATGACTTAACAAAAATTTAAGCAACTAATGTTCTCTGAAGTATAGTCACAATAAAGAGAAATTTCTATAGCTTCTGGTTTTCCAGTTCTTGTTTGTTAAGTCTTTCTTCTCAGCTAAGATTAAGAAGGATGTTCTTGCCACATCAAGAACATTTGAAGGAGCAACACCATTGTATGTTGCTGTTGTGTCCCATTAAGTCAGAACCAACTCACAGCTGGCCCTCTAGTGGGTTTTCAGGGGCTAAGTCACACAGAAGGAGATTGCCTATTTTTTGTCATGCAGAGCTGTTGGTGGATTCGAGCCATGTGCCTTTGGACTGATAGCATAACTTCTTAGCCACTAGATCCCCAGAGTTCTCTATTGGCTTTATAGTTTAATGTATAATCTGATATTTCTTCAAATTATTGACTTATAATTTAGTATTAAATTATCATCTTGAGGCTGCTGTCCAATAGTGGAAATCACGAGTGTATTCTTTAGAGTCATCAGTGTATTTGAAAACATTTTTTGGACTCTTTCAGGCAATAAAGATGAAGATTGGTGAACTAGAGCTCATTTTCTCCTTTTTAAAACTTGAGAGTTAAAAAAATGCTTAAGAAATTAGTAATTTAAACCTATGTGCATATTTTACTGTATTATGACCATTGTTATTGTTATGTGCTGTCGAGTTGCCTGTGACTCATGTTGTTGTTGTTGTTATGTGCCGTCGAGTCATTTGCGACTTGCGACTCATAGCGACTCTATGTACAACAGCCCTAAGCTCTGCTCTGTCCTGTGCCAATCACACTGTCTCTGACACTCCCATCCCAATTATCCCAGTCACTCACTGAATCAGTCCACCTCATAGAGGGCCTTCCTCTCCTGTGCCGCGCCCCTCCACCCTCCCAAGCATGATGTCCTTCTCCAAGGACCGGTCTCTCCTCACAACATGTCCAAAGTATGTTAAACACAGCCTCAGAATCCTTGCCTCCAAGGAGCCACCCGGTTTAACCCTTTCCAGGACAAATCTGTTTGTTTTCCTAGCAGTCCATGGCATTCTCAATAGTCATCTCCAGCACCACAGCTCAAAGGCATCAATTCTCCTTCTATCCTCCTTGGTCATTGTCCAACTCTCTGATGCATAACA